CTCTCTTCAAATTCAATGAAAATAAAATACACACAGCTCTGCTGAATCTCTACAGAGGAAGAAAGGTCGAGGCTTTGACCCCAATTTCAATGGCGGCTCTATTGGGGTGGTACAAGCCATTGCAGCCGCGCCTCTCACTCTTCTACAAAACCTTCACTCCTAAACCTTTCCACCCACGAACCAATTTCCGGTTTCGCACGATTTGCGCTATCAATTGCAGCAGTAAATCTCAGCCTCTCACGACTTTCTGTGAAGATAATCGCAAGGGTACTTTGTCCAGAGATGACGATGGTTTTGGTAATGGTTCTGGAGAAATAAAGGAGGAGCTCTGGCTGTACAACACGATGAGCAGGCAGAAGGAGTTGTTTAAGCCGAAATTCGAGGGGAAAGTAGGAATGTACGTGTGTGGCATCACGGCATATGATTTTAGCCACATCGGCCACGCCCGCGTTTACGTTGCTTTCGACGTGCTATACAGGTATATTTTCGATTGTCATTTACTGTATGTCATTTGAATTGTGGTCAATTATGTTTGTGTCTTTGAAAAGGCTTGATTTTCACGATCATGATTGGTTCTTAGAATTCTGTGTGGTTACTGTTTTGTCGTGTTTCTAGCTATGTAGCATATGCCCGGTGGTGGTGTTATAACTAATTGCATTTTTCTTGATGCACTTCCTTTCTAATTAGGCAGATACCTCAAGTACTTGGGATATGAGGTCAATTATGTCCGCAATTTCACTGATGTTGATGACAAGGTGAGTTGATGAGTTGAAAATGTGTCTTTTCTAATGCTTACATTGGTTCTGTTTTCTTTATGCTTTACAAAAACCATTTTATATTCTGCCATTTGCTTTCAATAATGATTAATAACTGTGACACGGACTAGTAATGGAAATCGAGTTGCATGGTTTCTAAAGTTCTTGTGTGTGTGTATTGTTGTTGATCTGATTCTAATATTTGTTCCAAAATCAATTGGGGTCAATACTATCACTTGTTTACATGTACCAACTACTTGCATATGTATGACAGGATAGCTGAGTCCGCATTTTCAAATTCTGTAGATTATCGCCAGGGCAAATGATCTGGGCGAAGACCCAATTCATCTAAGCAGAAGATATTGTGAAGAATTTCATCGCGACATGACATATCTGAACTGCCTTCCTCCTTCTGTGGAGCCTCGTGTCTCTGATCACATGCCGCAAATTATTGATATGATTAAACAGGTATTTTTTATGTCATTGATATGTTTTCCTTCTTCCAGTTGATTCATTTCAATAATAAAGTCCATTTACAGTATGTTCTTCTGTCCGTATCTATTTTTTCCTACATTATGTCTCTGACTCCCTTTTGGCCTTGTAGTACTGGCTCAAATATCTTCATGTTATATTTTCGTTTTTAATTTTTGTATATGTTAGGTGGAGCCATAATATTATGTCATTGCTCATCTGCTAGATACTCGAGAATGGTTGTGCATACACAATCAATGGCGATGTTTACTTCTCAGTGGTCGAAGTCCATGACTATGGTCGATTGTCTGGCCGTAAATTAGAAGATAATAGAGCAGGCGAACGGGTGGCTGTGGACTCGAGGAAGAAAAATCCTGCGGATTTTGCTTTATGGAAGGTGGGTCCTTGTTCGTAACTAATTAACATACTTAAGCATTTCTCAGATGAATAATTTTTCTAATAAATTTTAATGGCTTTTGTGGAATGACATCTGTATGCTGCACTCATGTGGGCTTTCCTATATTGTAAAAATGGAATGACAAATCTGGGTTATTTCAGGATTGAGGAATATTATTTTTGCTCATTTTGCAGTCGGCAAAGGAGGGAGAACCATATTGGGAGAGTCCATGGGGTCCTGGAAGGCCTGGATGGCATATCGAGTGCAGTGCCATGAGCGCAGCTTACTTAGGTTTCACTTTCGACATACATGGTGGTGGAATGGATCTTGTTTTCCCCCATCATGAGAATGAGATTGCACAGAGCTGTGCTGCATGTCAAGAAAGTAGTGTGGGCTATTGGGTGCACAATGGATTTGTGACCATTGATTCTGAGAAGATGTCAAAGTCTCTTGGAAACTTTTTCACTATCCGAGAGGTACAAAGATGATCAGTGATTTTAAAATCTCTTATCTCGATTACCCGTGGATGGTTTATGCTTCTTACAGCAGCCTGGTTACTTTTTTCTTGTTTTATAATTCAGGTTATAGAAGTTTACCATCCACTGGCTTTGAGGCTTTTTCTTATGGGAACTCATTATAGGTCCCCACTCAGTTACTCAGAGCTGCAGCTCGAAAGTGCGTCAGACCGACTTTTCTATATTTATCAGGTCAGTAACTCTTCAACCCAGGAATATGACATGAATAAAACTCTATTTTCTTGTTCAGTTTGTACCCATCTCATTATTTTCCCAGCTATATGTCATCACTGTTTCTGTATATGTGATGAACACCTGTAACTTTATGACCTCTTTCACATTTTAGTTTAGTTTCTGTATGATCATTATAACATAATTTCTGTTATGCCTTTGATTTCGGATAATTTTATGTCTTTAAATGGTTAGTCCTTACTTGAAGGAGCTCATCAGCACAGGAAATGGCACCCTTTTTTTGATGGTTTCCAAAGCGACAAGAGCAGACACTTGAATTATCTTGAGAAAATGTAGGATTTAAAAATGACTGTATTGGAAAAACGCATTGTTTATCAAGTTGCCCACTATTGCATTCATGTGGCATATCTGCCGAAAGCTACACGTTCTGCAAATTATCTAGCCCAAACTATCATTGGTTTGTAAATATCATTTGTACTTGTTACTTCTTGGGTGCAGACGCTTCACGATTGTGAGAGTATTGTGACCCAACATAATGCGGCTATTCTGAAGGATACCATACCAGCTGGAACTGCGACTTGTATCAATAAATTTCATGATGAATGTTTAACGTCAATGTTGGATGATCTTCATACTCCTGTTGCTTTGGCTGCAATGTCTGAACCACTGAAAATTATAAATGATCTTTTGCATACTCGGAAGGTATGTTGGGGTTTCAGTTGATCCGTGAGCAATTATAATAATGTTTTACACCCTTTTACTCGGTGAACAGACTTGCTGGATGATTGGACCTCAATTCTTGTACTCAAGTTGAAATAAGTTGGTATTGGTGCTTGAATACACATCTGTAGTATCTCAATACTGAAAAAAGCCGTTTTCTTACATATCTTACTTAACTATGCTTTTACACCACTTGATGCGCGTTCCACTTGTCAGATTTAATTGGTAGAACCTTTTGAGTTATGCAGCACAATACATATAATTGCTCTGTCCAAAGTGGGCACAATTCTTGACTTTCGTTGTGATGAGAGTATTTCTTTGTGCAGGGAAGGAAGCAAGAGTTGAGAATTGAATCACTGGCATCTTTAGGAAGTACAATTAGAAATATTATTACTATTTTGGGGCTATCACCGGATAGCTATTCCGCGGTATGATTAGATATTTCTCTTTCTATAGCTCAAATGAAATTACATCAGATCATTTCCCACTGTTCTAAAAGTTAGAATTTCTTGTTTACAATAATTATTTTGTAAAATAAAATTGATTAAAATGATAAAACCTGCTAATTTGGCTTTCGGATATACACGTGATATAGGCATTGAATCAACTGAGAGATTATGCACTGAAACGTGCCAAGTTGACTGAAGATCAAGTAAGACAGAAAATTGAAGAAAGGGATGTTGCAAGAAAAAATAAAGAGTATGAAAAATCTGACGCAATTCGAAAGGAATTAGCAGCCGTAGGGATTGCACTCATGGACAGCCCAGATGGCACAACTTGGAGACCAGCTATTCCCCTTGCTTTACTAGAGCTGCAGCTTGCAGCAAGTTGATTTTCGAACGTGGAATCACTTAAGATACTAAAATTCCACACGCAGCTTTGTATGTTCCGGGTTTTAAACTATTATTATTTAGTCTGGAGATATAAACATGGAAGAACATTATTTATCAGGGGGGTGTAAAATACATTAGTGCAATTTTGCCCAGTGAATTCACAGACAGTATTGCACCATTCAGCAGCATTGTTTAGCTGTGTAAATCGTCATTTTCTGCTATTAGATGGTACTCTTTCCTCTCCATCTCATTATATCGCTTCTCATCGCTATCTCCACTGTAATCTGTATTCCCAATTTGCTTAACAATTTGTTCGATTGTCACTGTCTTGTTAGGGTTGGCATTTCTAATTGAAAGGCCAACTTGAGTTGTTGTGCGGTTATCCAGGTTGATCAATACCAATGTGATTTCTACCTGTAGCATTTGTTCTGGACATAATTACCTTTTTGAAGGAAAAGGAGGCAGTCTAATTTTATTTTAAGTTTCAAATGATTTCTCTACTCAATGAATGTTTTGAACAGTGTGCATATCTTGCTCGTCCCGCTAAAGCTCGTCGATAAAATGGTTCTTCACATCAGTCAGTGCCAAAGAAGAGCAGTGCACAAATTCATCAATCCAAGTTCGTTTTCTATCACTTTATTACACATTATATGTCGGACAACTACTATAGTATTATAGTGAAAACCTACATGTAGTAATCTGGTTCAGGACATAAGTGTTATAAGCTCTGTTTGGAGTACGTTTGGTATCGGGAGAAGATGATATCCCCAGCTGATCAACATACCTTTTTT